ACTAGAAGGCAGGAGGGGACAGGAAAGCTGGTAATAGGGAACCCAAGGTTGAGAAGGGACAGTGTTGACATGTCGTGGGGTTCTTAACCATTGTCATGAAACAATATGTGTACTAACTGTTTAATGAGAAACTATTTGTTCTGTAAACCTTCATCTAAAGTATAATAAAAAATAAAAAAATATTTTCCTCTCTATAGAGACAGTATCATATATAGCTTTCCCATTGTCCTTTATTTCCCATTACAGTTTGATTTACTCTTTGATCTAAGAGCTATTTAAGAGTGTTTTTCATTTCCTTGTGGTAAATTTTCTCTAGCTGTTTTGTTATTAACTTCCAAGTGGCAATCTCAGATAAGAAAGTAACCCTGTAAAACTTCTACTTTTTGTATAAGAGTCCCATTACAACTGTGTTGTTTTCAATTTCTCATTACAGTTCTAGCTGTTTTCATTTTAAATACTTTGATACTACTCTGTTACAAAACAGAGTTTTGGTTATATTCTCCATGATTATATTTTCATTTGGGATTACACAGTGAAGTGTTCTGTAAAGTAGAACAGTTATCATATTTAATGACTTTTGCCTTAAATTATACTTTATAATTGTGACTCTTGCTTTAGATTTGTTTGCATTTGCCTGAAAATGTCACCCCTTTAAATACTGTAAGATTAATGAAAAGTTCCATCAATATGTAAAGGCTTTTATCATAAAATAACAATAGGCAAAAACAAGTGAAAATTTATCCTGTGCTCTAACAGATTCAGGAAAGAAAAAACACTAACGCAGTTTTTTTCTATTGTTCAATAAATCTTCAAGAGGACCTATTTAAATCGACTGAACAGAGACTCCATTAAAAATGTTTTATAGCAATTAGAAAAAATTCTTCAGCACTTGTTAAAAGTCATTATTAAAAAAATAATAATTTGACAATGACTGCCAAAGAAGTAGCTCTATGTTAAGAAGTATCTTTATTAGTGTTTATGAAATAGACCTGGACCTCAATCACACAGACAACTTATGCCTAATGAATAAACCTCAAGGAAACCAGATTAAAAAGCCAGGAGCCTTTTGGACTTCAGCAAGCTATTAAGTAAGCAAGCTACGTATAGTATATTTTAACTGATCATCACAAGAGATAAAAGATCCAAGGTAAACACTCATGCCGTCCCCAAAAGAGCAAAGTAGAATAAGTAAGAGGAATTTTAAGGAGGAAGCTATTTCCCTCCAACATCTCATCCCCACCAACAATATCAGGGTACTGGCCAATAAAACAGAAACTGCCCTATTGGGACACTTACGAAAACAAATACTTTAGTTTTTCCAAAGCCATACTCACGCATCATAATCTTGAATGACCAGCCCCACAGACCAGATAGCAGTCAAATACTCATTAATACCATTAGGGCTGATGTAATGAAGGGAGTTGGGAGAACTTGGATCACCATTGGAGCCAGTGAAGTCCACTCCCACCTGCAAATAACAATTGCAGCCCTTACTGATGAGAAGGCAGGAATATGTGTTTGATGTCCAAGAAATTTCAGGAGATGAAACATAATCATTACCCCAGAGCCTGCTACTGTCATTTCCTAACAAAATACTTGAGCCTATCAGCATTTCCACAGACAATTAAATACATTAATGCTTCTATTTGGTCTTAGCATGAAACAACCTGCTATTCCTACATTTCTAGCTGCCTTCAATCATGAACTATTACATCCATGACTTAGACTTAAGGGGTTGTTTTTGCACGTTTGTTAGACTAATGCTTTCTGTTACTTAAATCACTGCAAGATAACCACCAGTTTGTACATATCTGCTTTCTCTTGGGAATAACAGATCTTATTATCAACAAAGCTGAAAGCTCCGTGGTAAACCCAGACAACCTGTCAGAGGAAACCACAATGAGAAGACTGTAAAAATCTCATCATAAAGTCAGTTTTGTAGTAAAATAAACAATGCTGCAAAATGCAGAGGAAGCAACATGTTACAGCCTGCTTTGAAAACTCCAGCGTGTTACTTACTGTAAAATTCAGCTGACATCCTCCCATGATATAGTCAAGGAATGTGCATTCCACTATAATCTAAAAACAAAATGTAAACTATCAAAACTGAAAATCTCCTAATACTGGGACAGATTTGTAAACAGAACAACACATGATATAAAGTTTAACTGAACAGCACATGATATAAACACATGGAAATCACCTTTACATTCTAGTTAAAGGCAATCCTGCCCCCTACGCATCATGAATCTATAAGATTTTACTTCTTAAAAGCAATGTTAAGATTAGGATATTAATGGCCAAAGATGAAATATACTAACCTTAAGGTTTGAGAAATTAGTAAGGAGTCTAATATGTTGACGGCTTTAATAAGCATAGTAATCAAGATTTAAAAAGCTCACCATACCTTGAAAGAAATCTCCTAGATTTTTCCCTCTACTCATAACATCTCATCTTGAAACAACCATCAGGATAGAAGCACTGGGTGAGGCTATTTCTACTAATGGGGTGAGAAAACACCATGATGCCTCACATTACCTAAGAGAATGGAATACTTTAGTATTCCTTGTCCTTTGCTAAAAACTTGTCAAACCTTGCAATCAAACTTACTTAACGGATTTCTTTACTACTTCCTACCCTCTTCTTTTCCTCAAAGGTGCCCAGATGTTCTTGTGACCTTCAACTGCCCAAAATCCAAGTGTTTGTTGGGTACAATTGATACGGATAAAAGAACTCCAAATGCGATCTCAAGACATTACAATAAGTAGCCAAGACCAAACTGACCTCACATTGTTTCACACTGACAACACCTGAATTTTTGTAGCTTTTCTTCTTTTGCCTCTTTTTCTCATTTATGCATTCAAATTCAACCTGTACAAAGAAAGGGCAAAATGTTGATTTTTACTGGCAAATTCAGAAATGTCAAAGTGACTTTAAATGAATGACTTTTTTCTCTTGGAATCAAACCACGTACTGATGTAGGTGCGCTCCAAAACAAAACTCTGAAATAAGTAATACATTACATATGTGAAATATTTATCAGTTAATCTTCCAACAGTCAAAGCACACCTAAAATTATATACAATAGTTCCTAAGTATAGGCCCCTGGACACCCTTTTAACTCAGTACTGGAGTCATTCCTGAGGTTCACCCCTGAGCCAAAGATTAGACGGGCCCATAAAACAAAATGAGACTAAATGGGCACACCAGCCCAGGGCAAGGATAAGCAGGCAGGAGGGGGCAGGGAAGCTGGTAATAGGGAACCCAAGGTCGAGAAGGGAGAGTGTTGACATGTTGTGGGGTTGGCAATCAATGTCATAAAACAATATGTGTATTTATTGTTTAATGAGAAACTAAATCGCTCTGTAAACCTTCATCTAAAGTACAATTTAAAAAAAGAGTATCTAACACACACACAGAAAAAACAGTACCTAAGTATAACTTTCCTTCTGTAAGTAATAAATATCCCTACAAGTGCTCCAAGTATAACCTTTCCTCTTTATAATAAAGGAAATAAAACATGACCACTAGTTGTTATCCACACAAAGAGCAAGAACATGCTGTTTAGAAAGGCAGGAAAAACCTACTGTCAGAAAACAGAAATATGTGAAGATCCAACTCTATGGTAAATATGCATCAAAGATCATCTCTTTCCACAGGGAATATGTGTTAGAAATAGGTCTAATACATAACATCTCTCCTTAGCATAGTTCCTTCCCCCAAACAGCATAATCTTCCTTTCCACCTCTTAGCCACCTATCCATATTTCAAGGCTTGGCTCAAGTCAATCTCCTCTCTAACGCCTTTATCCATTACAGTTCTCATCTTCTCTGATCTTCATCCATCTCCTTAAACTTCTTACAATCATATAAAATTTAGTTACATACTCTGTATTATTTTCAATTGTTTCATTTTATTAATTTTCTCTTCACAACTAGGGTATAATCACCTTCAAGCTGCACCTCTAAATTCTCACTGTCTTGCCTAATAAATGAGAACATAATAGATCCTCAGTGAACACTTGGTAAGTCACCTCTTCTGGTTAACAGAAAGCAACTGAGGTAATTTAGACGGGCATTACTACTTTTTGAAGAATCAAAACATAGAAAAGCATGTTTAATTCAATGTTAATACAAAACACAATTATATTAAACAAATTCCTTGATGGTTCAGGATCTTGCCAGCGTTTCAGTCATAATCATAAACATTAATTACTAAATATCAGAGATGCAGAAATGTCATAAGCAGAATTCTCATTGATAAAAAGCTGGATTACTTCACTTTATTCATTCCCCATTTACAGAGTGTCTACCAAGTGGCAGGCACTGTGCCATGCACTAAGAACACAAAGATGGTGAAAAATGTCCCTCGCCCTGAGGAGCAAACGCAGGTAAACAGTATCACTGCAGCAACATCCAGGGCCTCATTCTGTCAAAGAAGGAGGGGAGACTCAAGTCAGCCAGATTTAGGAAAGCTTTACGTGACCCATAAAGAATCATACAATTGTTGGTTTAGTATCATCTTTTAAAAGCGGGTCATTTACTCAATCTGGGAAATAAACTGAAATAAGTGAAACAACAACACAGGCCACTTCTCCATATTTAGTTACTTTGGTTAACTTGCTTTATTTTAAATGTTCAGCTTGTCACCACCTCCATTAGTCCTGCCTTTAAGAAAATCCTTAAACAGAATACTTACACCTGAATTTGACCGTAGTTTTAATTTAAATACTGTTAGCTCAAACCCAATTCAGTCTTTGCATCGAAACCATTAGGAGTGACTTAAGCATTTCCCACTTCACCAACATGTAAGTACGGGTTACTTAGTATACCTAGCCTCATGACCAGGGAGTAAGGACAGAACTAGAGATCTTCACATGACCTACTGAAAAATCTAGTCCCACAATGTTAGTTTAAAACCCATTTCTCCCACTATTTAAATCAAATGACCTGTAAATTTTATTTAGTTTTTCAGTTTTGATCTAAAACTATCAATATCTTCTTTCAGGTCACCTCAATTACACAACTAGATAAAATAAATAGACCTTCTCACCTGACCATAACCTCTTAAACACCACATTTTTATTTGTGAAAGCAAATGCTATACACATAAGAATTAGTCAAGTCCCTAAGCAGCTAAGAAACAATTCTTATTATTCCGTTATGAGCAAGCTACAAGGAAAATTAACAATGTATCTCGTGAAAACTAGAAAAGTAAATAAGATGGAAGCAATTTATACATTTTACTTATTAAACACTCTGGAATAGTTTTTTGTCACATTGGTTTAGACACAGAAACACTCAGAAGCATCCTTAGAAATTCTCTGGAATGCTAAATAATACACTGAATATAGTTAAGGCAGCCAAATGATCTCAACAACGTCATTGCCATGAGATGGCAGCTTAATATTAAATAATTTGAGGTACTACAAATCATGCTTTTGTCCTTCCCTTGAGCTAGGACAAGTCAGAGAAAAGAGACAAAAAAGAGGATTATAAAAACCCTAAGCCCAGGTATTTGTCCAGTGTTGTAAATATTAATTATTATGACCAGTGAAATGCCAGAAGTCTTCAAGCTAACTTGTTCAAACAAGCCATATATATTGTTTTAAGTCAAAGGAAATCAAACCTCTAATTATAAATGTAAATTTATACCCCAAGTACAAATTTTGGATTATCTAATTACTAAACAAAACACATAGATTTCAAAGCATTATGTGTAATATAGACTAGAAATATGGAAAAATGTTTGCTATAGCAAGGGGGGGAAATATATAAATACAAAGCCAAACCATAATACATGTGCAAATGACAAAGACAGAACTTACAGGTGAGCTTCTGGAGGCTTCTTTCAGTTTTGTCATGGTGGTATGAAATGTTCCAATGAGATCATGTGACCCATCATTGTCATGATCATAACACTCTACCTGGAAATAAAAATATATAAAAATGGACATAAGTCTCTCTAAAAAGGATTGGCTGCAATAAATGGAACCCACAAAAAAGTGTCTTTTTAATAAAATAACTGAAAATATTTACTATATAGTCCCTATTTGGAGAAGTAAGAACTAACTTGCCAGAGAAGTGCCGGAATACTTTTAAACCTCAGCTATTCTTGGAATGGGGTTCCAGGATAGATCACAGGCAGATGGAAAACACATATACTTTTTAAATTCCACATTCAGCAGTTTCTGGCTCCTCTATCATGCCCTTTATAAATGGTGATAAAGGGCAAAATGGAATTTCACCTTCTTTCTCATCCACTTCTTTATCTTGGTATGACTATACAATGACTAAAAGCATTATATCTGGAGAAAGAAAGGAAGTCAGTATGCCAGGGAGCTAAAAACTGTATAACCTAATGCTGGATCATTTAGAATTAAGGAAAATGTGTTTCATTAACTGCAGTCTGGTGAGGCCTGACTAGCAATTAGATATAACAAAGTCAGATTTGCATGATTCTGAGGGTCGCAAACTTACAACAGAAAGAAAAATTCCGGGGAAAGAGTACTCAATCTACTGAGGAAGTAACTACACCAGGTCATATTTACTCTATTTCCACGTAAGACAGGGTGAGTTCTAGTCTTAGCTCTGGCTCTCATTAAATGTCCTCTCTGAAAGCAGACAGAAGAGAGGTGAGAGTATTTAATGCTGCATATAGTTTTCTGCCAGGTTGAAAGACATAGCCAAAAAAGTAAATATTCATTAGAATACTAGAATATTCATTGCCAGGAGAAAAATAAGGCAGTGTGAACTGTTAGCAAGCAGAGGTTTTCAAGGGAAGCTCAAAAATGACCATAATTGTGATCAGTCAATAATCAACATTTTCATAGTGCTTTATAATTTCAAAACAGATTATTTCATTTCTGCAAACACTTATTATGTGCACTGTGCATATTCTCTAAATAGCCTTGTGAGGTAGGCAGTTAGGAATCCTGTTACTATTAATTCCCATTTCGCAAAGCTAAAACTTGGAGGAATTAAATTAAAAGTCTTGTATGCCCTGTGTGGTAACCAACACAGGGTAAGTAAAGCTGAGCTAAGGACACTTTTAAGTCCTTTTAGATCCTGTGCTTTAAAATAAAAGCCTTTAACTGAGAAGCAATTTGCATTCACCCTCAGCCAACAGACATCTCCATCTTGCTATTATCCTTCACAAAGATGCATTAATCCAAACTAAAATGCTCAGGATTTACAATATGTGCATCTGCCAAAGTGATTTTTTTCCTTCTCACTTCTGTGAATGGAGTGCTTTCCATAACAGGAAGTCTATCATTCCTTACTTGTATTTTCACTATTATTCAAGAAGACTAAAAATCAATCAATAAAAACAGACAAATTTAGAACTCAACTGGGAATAACAGTAAGCGGTTTCTAATTTGTTTAAAGAAATTAACTTTGGTCACTGACCATTTCTGACAGTTAGACTCTTCTCTAACATAGACAATATTCAATTTTTAAACCGGAAGCCCACATTAACTGATTTAATGTGTCAAAAGGAAATTAATGACTTTAACAGTTTTTTTCAGAGGAACTAAAATTAAGATAGGAAATGAACTCTCTTAATATATTAATAATTTCATGTATTTTAAAGATATTGCAGCTATGGAAAACAGAACTTTACATTTTATATTTGCATTTAGAGAACTCCAATTTATACCTAAGATAAAAAATCAAACTCTGATAAGGTCAAGGTTTCATTTAAGCAAAGTTTATGAAACGTTAAATTTGTTCATATGTTTAGACTGCCTGCAACATTAAGTAATGTAAAAAATATTTTTAAACTGAACTTTCTTATTAAATTCATAGGAAAAGTTCCCTATTGCACCCCTGAAGGCAAATATTTGGTGCTAACGAAAGATGTAGTATTTATAATGCTGGCATATATTTAGATACACTTTGAGGTAAAAAGATATAATGATTTGTGTCATTTAATTTCTCTTCCTCAAGAATTCAAAGACCAGTACTTACTGGCTGTTTAAATAACAGTTATCAGCAGTGCTTGTGAAATTTAAATGTGTGCATATATACATATACAGATATATATACATATATATACATATACAGATATATATATATACATGTGCAAAAGAACACACACACCACAATACTACATTCACTAAGGCATTCCCATTTTAGGCAAGGTGATAGCATGCATGATTATTTCTCTTATTCACTTGAACTTATGGAATAATACATGCTAGAGTAATAGCACTGGCATGTTAACACTGCAACAAATAAATTACCAATGATTCTGACTCTGCTCTAGAACTCTTTATTACACCTATAGCAATTTCCAAACACCAAAAGAATCGCAGATGTATGACTTTCTGATATTGCAAAGAAATACAGAATTAAAGAAATAAAGTCAGCGATGAAGTGGCAAACCAAGTTGTGTGTAGTTAAAAATAAACTGAGAAACATTTAAGAATGGAAGACGTTCATCAGAGAAAGCTCACGAAATCAGTTTACTTACTATAATAAAATAGCCCTGTAAGCATGCCACTGTGAGTAAAAATTTAAAAAACATTGTTTCATTATTAACACATCATGACAATCAAATAATTATGGCTTAGGCATTTTTTTCCCAGTCTCTCCTGCCTTTGCAGATCTAATAAAGCTTCAATTTGCTACTTTTAATGCGAAAAGCAAAAGTTCCTGATTTTACACAACAATAAAGTGTAATTTTTAAAGCTACTTTTCTAATTATTTTGTACCTATATTTTCAATGCTGTTTGAAATATCATACAAACCATAGTTACGTGGATTTTTAAAGTCCTCTGCAAACTGAGGTCAAATGTTTATGGATGAAAGAAATGAAGCCATTTTCAATAACAACGGCATCCGCACTATGTTTAACAATTTACAAAACTATCACTTTCATTTAATTTAATGCTAATTTTTTTTGTAAGGCAGAGCCCTGGTGGCACAGAGGTTAAGAGCCCAGCTGCTAACCAAGAGGCTGGCAGTTCCAATCCAGCAGCTGCTTCTTGGAAACCCTATGGGGCAGTTCTGCTGCATTCTATAGGGTTGCTATGAGTGGGAATCGACTGGATAGCACTGGGTTAGGTTTTTTGGTTTTTTGTTTTTTTTTTGAAAGACAAGTATTATTATCTCCATTATATGAGTCAAAAAGTTAGATGATCTGACCAAGATCCCTTAGCTGGTTAAAGGACACTTGAACTGTGGTTTGACTCCAAATCCTATACTTGTTCCGTGACATCACCTTTCCTACTTTCACCATATTACCAAGAAAACACACAAAAAAAACAAAACTTGGTTTGTTGACCTCTGAACACAAAAAAAGGCTTCTATCTAGAATCAAAAGAAGTAATGCCACTAGCATAAAAGTGTCTTTTAAGTTTTTTTTGTTTGTTTGTTTTTTTGGGTAAATAGCTGTGAATTAAAAATAAAAAAATAAAAACCTAAGAAATCTGATGCTGCTTCCTATTCCCACTGTATTTCCCTAACACTTTAAAACTAAAGCCTAAAAGCTTTCAACGAATTATATCTCACTCTGTAAATAAGGACGGAACGCCACCACTATTCTATCTTGCTAAGGGTAGGATGAACTCCGGGTTCTTAGTTAGGGTAACATCTACTTTTATCTGCAAGAGATACACCAAAGGCAAAGAATGTAGCTAAAGGTTCCTATTCGGAGAGCAAAAACAATCTAATTTAAAGAAAAAAGATTTAAATTGGACATGTTATTTTAAAAAAATGCAAAGTAAACTCACAATGTTTGATTAAGCATTAGGTCAACAGATTAGGCAAACATATCTACTCATTCAAAATGACTAGTTTACTTACCAGACAGATTTTTATTTTAGCATTCCTAGAAATGAATAAAATTCAACCCTACAGGTATCTGTAATATTTTTAACTTTCTTTAAATGCTACCAAATCAATTAATTTTATAAAATAGGTGAGTACGTGTTTACATGTATATTATGTATATTAATTATGTCTATATAATTCCAAATTACCTTAATGGTTTTGTCCATATCTCCATAGCACAGAGAGTTAAGAGAGATTTTAAAAGGCCTCCACACAGGATTCAAGTTGTTTTTAATAACCTATAAAAATGAAGTTTCAAAGACTAGTTAGAAAAATATTTAGTTTATTAACGTTTTGCTCTTGCCTTTCTAGGTCCTTGCAATACTCTCACCATTCATCCTTTACCTCTTCAGTCACCCAACTGTTTCAAAATAAAAACTAGTTAGGACAATATTATACAACTGTTATATGAAAAATGTGACAGTTTGTCCAGTTGTGGTACATTCCAAGGAAAGGAAAAAACATTATATGGGCAATATATACACCCATTAAAAGGTACACTTGGAAACTACAGATGATTACTATACACTAAGATATTAAAGCTTCACATGTTCACGAAGAGCTTCTGAGCTAAATAGGAAATAAAAATAGAAAGGGAAAACAGGAATGTGCACAAATGCAGTTCATCTATTCAACCAAATATATACAAACAAATTATCCTTACATGCTATTACTTTGAAATGTTAGTGAAATATTGATATAACTAGGATACAGAAAAAGCACTGAAACTGCTTTGTGTACTTAGCAGGAAAATGGTATTTTGATTTTGTCAGAAACCAGGATTTTCATTGCAGGAGACAGATGATTCAAATACGCAATGAGAAAAGGTGAGAAAGAACTCTGTTGTGCTGGACTTGAATTGGAGAAGTAATTCTTAATTCATCATTTAAAATTTTAACATATATATACACACATAATAAATAGATACACAAACATTTCCCAGCTGTGTCCACTGAAAGACTTAAAAGCTATGACATACCAGTAGCAATGTGCAAAACCAGCACCCAGATGTTGGTGTTTAAATACTAGTCCTGCTAAAAGGAATAGACCTTCTTAAAAGAAATGGCTCATTCCAGATCTGAGACAGGGAAAGTACAATGAACTGAGAACATATTTGAACATAAAGCAAGAGAACGCTTAAATATTAATGGGGCCATGTTAAAAGAACCTACGAGCCATTTGAAGGAGCTCCACTTGATCAAATGTGTATTAATTTGAGCAGCAAAAATAATAATAATTAAAACAAATTATAACACAATGAATAAAACAAAAATCCATAAGTTTACAATGACACTAAAAATCAAAAAGAGAGGAGAGAGGAACAAGGAATGCCTGCTAATATATGTAAAAGAGATAAAAAATTTAGAAAATCAATCACTATTATACAAGCGTATAATAATTGATTCAGGCAAGGATCATCAATTGATGCTAAAACCACGAGATGAAATGTTGGAGAACAGGTTATTCACTCAGTCTCAAAGTATCACACCAGGAACTACTTATAAAGTACAAAGGAAAAAAGTTGGACTTCATAATGGAGAAGTCTAATGGTCAACAGCTTAATCAAGTAGCCACGTTTAGCATCATCAATACTGGGTAATCTGATACTATGGGTTCCCAATGATGCAGAGGAAGGTACTCACAAGGTGTTCTTGACAAAAATGTTTGACTTAGCTCTAATGGTGAGGAAATAGAAGAATCCAGAATGTTAGACAATCTGGCTTTAGTTATTCAAGAGATTCAATGGCATGAACACATAAGGAGAACAGTCCTATACAGGGGACAGAATAGCCAAATGTAGTATGTGAACTTTGATTGGATCCTGAACAAACAAAAATGAAAATACAATACATATAAAACAACTGCAGAAATCTGAAGATGACTCGTATATTGGATAATGTTACTATTTCACTGTTAATTTTCTCAAATGTGGTTGAATAGCAGCATGTCCTTGCTCTTGAGATTCCTGCAGTAGCATTTAAATGTGAAGATTCATGATGTCTTTGCAGCCTACATTAGGATAGTTCTATGTATGTGTGCATGAGCGTGTATACCCAGGGAGGAGGATAGAAAGACAGAAGGAGAGAACATGTACATGTGATGTTATGACCACTTGGTGAATCTAGGTATATATTTTAGTGTTCTTTAAATTCTCTCAGGGTTTAGAATTTTTCAAAAACAAAAAATTGACTAATAATTAAGCATGGTAACACCTCTTGATTTTTAAACAAAAATGAAAGTGATGGTGCTAAACTCATGTCTGGCTGTAAGTAAGTCTGAACTCAGACTGACATTTTTATAAATATGTAATTAAACAAAAAACTGAGATTACTACAACTCCAAAGGAAATCTCCCTCCTACTTTTCAAACTTAGGTATTTACCTCTGTTCGATGAACCATTAGCCAGTTTCCATCAGATGTCTGTTTGTGGAATTCCAGGTATGGATCTGACTTTCCAAATAGATCCTACATTAAAAACAAAAAAATTAATTATTCTTCTCTGAAACCATGTCTAAACACATTTTGTACATGTTAACAACCACCTGAAGTCTGACCCTATAGTACAGATATATATTGGCAATAAGTGCAAATTCTGTCACCTTCCTCACAAACATAAGCTTGCAGAAGTTTATTAGGGGGAACTATTAAGGTGTTTGTGATAAATGTGCATAATCCTGTGTGTCACACCCATACTTCTGAAAAACATGATGGTTTTAAAATATATGATCAAAAGGGCCCATAATCAATAAAAGTTGTTTTTGGCTTATTTTGACTGAAAATGATAGATTTAGAGAGATCTGTGCACATCCATGACAACACTATTAGCAGCTTTAATTCACATAGCAGTGAATAGTTTTATATAACTGATACTTCAAACATTGGCCATACCAACTCTCTGAGGTGACCATGTCAGTTATAAGAGAGAAAATGGACTCAGAGGGATAAATGACTTCCAAGATCACATATATAATTAATTGATGGATCTGGACCTTGACATCATATCTAACCCTACAATGTCCAATACCCTTTCACCAACACAATACACTTTACACACACAAGAGAGCAGGCAGATGTGTGGAGTACAAAATAGAATCACCTGAAGGGCACAAACTACATTTTCTATTTCCTATGTAATTTACTATAGCACTCCTATACAATGCTCAGGCACAGTGACTATTCAAAAATATATGTATCATCCTCCTCCTCAACACAACACATTCTCTGGTATTCCTAGACATAGATAAAATTCAACCCTATAGAGATCTGTTATATACACACACTTATGCACAGGGATTAAATTCTGAAAGGATGTACAGAATGCTTATAGTGGTTAAGCTCAGTGGTGAGATTATGGATGATTTTCTTTTCTCACTTTTATCTTTATTTTGAAATTTGCATAATTTTCAGTAAATATTATTCATTATTTTTGAAAATGAAAGGACACTGGTTAATCTCCCAGTAACATATGCAGCTATGTCCCTGAACTGAAGATTTAATTTAGTCTTGAATTAACCTCAGTATTGACTTAAGAACTAAGATTATTTCCCTCCTCAGTACAAAATTTGATCAAGTCAAAAATACAAACACAAAGAGTATGAAGAACTTTTCAATTTAACCTTACCTCTAAAACGAATCTTCAGTAAATGTAATAAGTCTCTCTACGTTTTATTTTACAAAACTAACACCAGCATTATGCACAGAGAAGGTAACTTTTCAAAGACACATGAACATGTCCTGCCCAACTAGTCTCAGAAATAATTCTGAGAAAACCAGAATATTATTATTACCATTTTGTAGGTCAGAAACACATCTTGTAAAAGTTCATTAAGTTGTCCAAAGCAGAATTAAAAGTCCTTGAGTCTGACCTCCAGAGAGCCCTGGTGGCAGAGTGGTTAAGTGCTCGACTGCTAACCGAAAGGTCAGCAGTTTGATCCTACCAGCCACTCCACAGGAGAAAAATGTGGCAGTCTGCTTCTGTAAAGATTTACAGCTGTGGAAACCCTATGGGGCAATTCTATTCTATTCTGCGGGATAGCTATGAGTCAGGATTGACTCTATGGCAATGGGTTTTGCTTTTTTTTTTTTTTGACTCTGACCTCCACCATATGTTAAGTAAAAAAGGCAAAGTGGAGGAGAGAACAAGTACACTTACCTAAGGGCTGGGGGTCGGGGGTGGGGAGGGGATACAATATACACACACATACATACACATACAAAAATTTCTATTTTCAGAAAACTGAAGAATTAAACCACAAAATACAAATTTTAAAAATTTATAAACAGGATAGAACAGACAAGGGAAGAAGCTAAATATCTTGAATATACTTTGTCTAGTAGATTTGACCTTAGAACCATGTAAATCTCTACATTATTATAAAACAAAATTAAATAAAAAAAAAATTGTTTTAAGCAATCCCTAAATATCGAAAGCAAAAGGAAACTATGGGTTGCCAGGGTCAGGGGGAGAGGAGAGGAGTGAATAGGTAGAGTACTTTTTGGATAGTTAAAACTTCTGCATGACACTGTAATAATAGTAGATACATGACACTATGCATTCGTCAAAACCCACAGAACTGTACAACACACAGAGAGAACCCTCATGTAAACTATGGACTTAGGTTAATGATAATGTACCAATACTGGTTCATCAATTACAACAATGTACCACACAATGCAAAATGCTAACAATAGGAGGAACTATGCAGGAGGAAGGGGGGGGTATATGGGAGCACTGTATACTTTCTGTACAATTTTTCTGGAAACCAAAACTGCTCTAAAAAAGAGTTTTAAATACGAAACTATCAAGGCGACAGCATAACCATACAGAAAATTATTTCCTTAAAACATTAAAATTTGACTGTACCACCCAAGTGCAATATACCCTAAAGACAAGGAATACAAAGAAAGCTTAAACTGTTTTCAGTAGAAATATTGTTAATTTTAATATTGATATTTTTATTCTGGAACTTTTATGGTCATAAGTATCAGATAAGTTATCATGCTAATATTCTTAGGAACCAAGATTTTCAGCATAAGAGAAAAAGGGACAAATATAAAAGAAATAAAGCCCTGTAATCTTAAATTTGAATTGGTAATAGTGCTGTAAATTCATGTGTAAAAAAAAAGGTTCCTGACTACTTACTAGTCTAAGATGTTTTTAAACCAGATTGTAAAGTAAATCCAAATGATGGAAAAATTGCTTAGATTGTAGAATTAAGTGAAAAAAATCACTAAAAGAATTATTCTAATCTACCTTAAATACTAAATTATTGAGTTATTATATACTATTACTCATGCTTCGAAAATATTGACTTTTTTTTACTTTTTATTGTACTTTAGATGAAGGTTTACAGAAAAAACTAGTTTCTCATTAAACAGTTAGTACACATATTGTTCTATGACACTGGTTAAAAACCCCACGACATGTCAACACTCTTTCTCATCCCTGGGTTCCCTTATACCAGATTTCCTGTCCCCTCCAGCTTTCCAGTCCCCATTCCTGGGCTATTGTGCCCCTTTAGTTTCGTTTTGTTTTATGGGCTTGTCTAATCTTTGGCTGAACGGTGAACCTCGGGAGTGACTACTTCATTACTGAGCTAAAAGGGTATCCAGGGGCCATACTCTCAGGGTTTCTCCAGTCTCTGTCAGGCTAGTAAGTCTGGTCTTTTTTGTGAGTTAGAATTTTGTCTTACATTTTTCTGCAGCTCTGTCTGGGACCTTCTGTTGTGATCCCTGTTAGAGCAGTCAGTGGTGGTAGCCGGGCACCATCTAGTTGTACTGGACTCAGTCTGCTGGAGGCCATGGTAGTTGTGGTCCATTAGTCCTTTGGACAAATCTCTCCCTTGTATCTTGTTTTCTTCATTCTCCCTTGCTCCCGAAGGGGTGAGACCAGTGGAGTATCTTAGATGGCTGCTCACAGGCTTTTAAGACCCCATTCACCAAGGTAGAATATAGAATATTTTCTTTATGAACTGTGTTATGCCAATTGAGCTAGATGCTTCCTGAGACCATGGTCCCACAGCCCTCAGCCCAGCAATTCGGTCCCTCAGGGAGTTTAGATGTGTCTATGGAGCTTCCATGACCTTGCCTTGTAAAAGTTGTGAGGGCTTCCCCAGTATTGTGCACTGTCTTACCCTTCACCAAGTTACCACTTATCTATTGTAACCCTCCGTCGTAACCATCAGATCGTTTCTTTTTGTGTGTAAACCTTTTCATGAGTTCTTACAGTAGTGGTCTTATACAATATTTGTCCTTTTGTGATTGACTTATTTCATGCAGCATAATGTCCTCCAGATTCATCTGTGTTATGAGATGTTTCACAGATTCATCATTGTTCTTTATCGTTGCGCAGTACTCCATTATGTGTATGTACCATAGTTTGTTTATCCATTCATCTGTTGATGGGCATCTGGGTTGTTTCCATCTTTTTGCTATTGTGAACAATGCTGCAGTGAACATGGGTGTGCATATGTCTCTTCCTGTGACGATTCCTATTTCTCTAGGATGCATTCCTAGGAGTGGGATTGCTGGATCATATGCTATTTCTATTTCTAGCTTTCTAAGGAAGCGCCATATCGTTTTCCAAAATGGTTGTATCATTTGCATTCCCACCAGCAGTGCATAAGAGTTCCGATCTCCTCACAGCCTCTCCAACATTTGTTATTTCCAGTTTATTTGATTTGTGCCAGTAGTGCCAGGGTGAGATGGTATCTCGTTGTGGTTTTGATTTGCATTTCTCTACTGCCCAGTGATCGTGAGCATTTCCTCATGTGTCTGTTGGCCACTAGAATGACTTCTTTGGTGAAGTGTCTGTTCATTTCCTTTGCTCATTTTTTAATTGGATTATTTGTCCTTTTGTTGTAGAGGTGTTGGATTTTTGTGCAGATTTTAGAGATTAGACCTTTGTCTGGTATGTAATGGCCAAAAATTTTTTCCCAGTCTGTGTTGTGTGTTGTTGGTTATGGTTTGTATCCTGCTAATGACGTGTATTAGGGCCTCTAGCGTTGATCCTATTTTTAATTCTATGAACTTTACAGCTTTTGGCTTTATACTTAGGTATTTGATCCATTTTGAATTAGTTTTTGTTTATACTGTGAGGTATGGGTACTGTTTCATTTTTTTGCGTACAGATGGGCATCCAGTTTTGCCAGCACCATTTCTTAAAAAGACTGTCTTTTCCCCACTTGATGGACTTTGGGCCCAAAATACTGACTTTTGAATGCAAAGGAGGTAACTGACCTATAACTAATAAAACATGGACTTCGTGTTTTTTTCCTAGAGATACACCAACTACACACTCTCACATAACTTTTACAGTAACATTAATGCTTGTATTCAACTCCTCTTATAAGCCTGACAAACCCTTTGATTTGATCTAGAGGAGAGAGGTGAAGGGGAAGGAATGCCACATAAACACACACATACAGAAAGACAGATTTGGAAGTAATTGATGTCCTAATTGATACTCTGAAAGATGGAATTCATAATATTAACTGACAATATTACTTTCTCAAAAAGGAATCAATGCGAAGAAAAACATGATATTCTTATTGAAATCTGCACAAACTACCCACCTTATTATCCAGTTTTCTTGCTTCCATTTCAAACACTACCACTCTGTTATCCTTTATTTCTTCAGCTGAAATCTATGAGTAGACAAAGTAAGTGAAAGAAAATACATTTTAGGAATTCTGATACACTCATGAAGTGCTGATTTATTCTGTTATCTAATAATGTATAAAATCTATCCTAATATAGAGTAAATGAATAAATTGTACTCTAAAATGTTTAATAATAAAGTGGTACCATTAAGAAAGATTTACCATTATCTCTTTTATGTGTGTGAATTATTTTCCCAAAATATGGCAAATCTGCATTATGCAACTTCCTTTTTAAATGTTGTTGCCCAAACTAGATCTTCTCCATTCTTAGAGAAAACTCAAGTTGGAAGACTGAAGGATATCCTCTGCACAGGACTGCTATCTTAACACTATGTAATGCTCTCCGAACATTGAGAAACAGAAGTAAATTCTATCTAGAGAATTCTCTAAAATTGATACAGCAGATCAGTGTTTTTCATGCAATGTAAGTGAAATAGTTATTCTACTTAAAAATAAAATTCCAGACAATCATGGCCCCAAGAACAATAAAGCTAACTACTGATAATATTCTCTGTCCCAGGAAAGTTAACACCTTCAACAGGTGCACATTCTCATGCCTTAGGAAATTTAAAACACTTACCCAAAATCAAGATGAGCAACAAAACAGCTGCTCAGAGAATTGTGTGTGATAATCACCATAACCCTCAAATATAGACCTCTCGAGGAGCCAGAGTTCCATTGTCAGACACACTACCACTCCAAGAGGTGGTTACGTGTGCAGAAACTCTAGGAGATACCATACTTAAAAGTCTGACATTATATAATTTGACATGTAAAACATGACAAGTGCATATATTCATTTGCCTAGGGCCAACAATCAGCAATGAAAAAATTTGGGTGAGGGCATAGGCAGGAGAGTGCAAGCACAAAAAAAAATGGTTAAGAGTTCAGAGGATTCAGCGACCATCTAAGATACAAGTACAGGTCTCTACTCGTATGTAGCCAAAGAGAACAAAGAAAATCAAAGGCTCAAAAAAGAAACTAGTCCATGGGACTAACAGCCCACACAAACCATAGCCTCCTCTAACCTGAGACCAGAAGAACTAGATGGTGCCCGGCTACCACTACCAGCCGTTATGACCAGGGACACAACAGAAGGTCCAGGATAGAATGGGAGAAAAATGTAAAACAAAACTCAAATTCCTAAAAAAGGCCAGATCTACTGGACTGATAGAGACCAGAGGAACCCCCAAGACTATCACCCTAAGATACCCTCTGAACTTGGAATTGAAGCTATTTCTGCAGGTCACCTTTCAGCCAAATAATATACTGGCTTATAAAATAAATAATATCACCCTTGAGTACTGTGCTCCCTTAAACAATTAACTATATGAGACCAAATGGTCAACATTTACCCAAAAGCAAAGATGAGAAGGCAAGGAGAGGAAGGGAACCTAGATTAATGGAAACAGAAAAACAGAATGGAAATAATGAGAATGCTGACACATAGTAAAAACTGGAACCAATGGCAGGGAACCATCTGTATAAAAACTGTTAAAGGGAAATCTAATTTGCTGTGTAAATTTTCATCTTAAACACAATAAAATATTATTTAAAGAAAAAAAAAGAGTTCAGAGGATTCAATGGCCATGTCATAATGTAATATCCATCTGAAATAAAACCCGTTATAGAAAGTTTCTGTCATCTCAAGGGGGTGATGCTTGTTTTGTAGAGAGCCAAACTGATCCATTCAGATTATTTAGCAGTTTTTCTCTAACTTGAGAATTTACCCTTCCATGGGGGAAAGGCAAGCATCATCAGTATGCACCTGACCTCTACAGGCAACTTAAAAACTAAAAGAAGGGATTCTCACACTGCATTTTTCTCCTTCTGTCTTTTTTGGCAAAACACACTTCCCATCTGTGACCACTACAAAGCAAGGCTAGAAGAAGTGCAGCATATGGGGTCAAATGAAAAAGTATGGTTGTAACATATTTGCCTGATATGTAGTTTCAGTGTCCTATTTTTGCTAGATCTTTCAAGACAAACTTTAAAAAAAGTATCTTGTTTTACCGTAATGGTCCCTTTTCCTGCAGGTCTGCCATTTTTAAGCATCAGTGGTCTAGTTAGCTTCTTACTGGAAACAATCTGTTAAAAATGGAAAGTAAAACAGCAATTTTGCTTCAATGTGTGAATTTTTAAACTGCATGGTTTCAGAACAAGGTTGAGTATAAAGTTCACATAAAATCATAAGAAATAGAAACATTAAGTCCATTCCTTAAAGATATATAGATTATAAAAACATTTAAAATGTAACTACACATGTAAAACCCACTGGAAGAGATTTCCAAGGAGCTTACCTGGCAGATATAATCCCCCCACATACTAGTTTCTTTACCAACTACTTCAGATGTTAACTTCTTCCTTGTAATGTAGAAAGAGGGCCAGATTCTCATCAGATACACAAATCACTGAGCTGAAACCCTATGAATAAAAGGTGGGCCTCACAACACTCAATAAATGAGACCAATTTTTCAATTGACATGAAACTTCAGTATTCAATCCCTACAAAGTATCATTCTGATTAAAAGAATAGAGCAGACCTAGGTACTTCCAAACAGATATATCTCTCAAATTCATTAGAATTGGGTTACCAATCTGACATGTAAGGAACTTAGAAGTCTTCCCTCACAACCTCATAGCAAGAAAAAAAGGTAAAAAACTAAGTATCATTAAAATTGTGTCATTTACCTACACTGTGATTTTTTTCCCCAAAAAGAAATACTTCCTTGTCTTTGACACTATTTATCAGATTTAGAAAACCAGTCAATTCCACAGTCCTTGAGACATAAGAAAAATCACGGTCTACAAACAATCAACGCTGAAAAATAGAAGATAAATTGAGTGATAACACATCATCCAATTTAAAAAAAACACTCTACTTCTCCCTCCCAAAGCCTTCCTCAATCTATACAAATGGTTATATAGTCTCTCCTTTATAAGTCAGACTATGAGCTAAGAGCAAAATGGTGAGCCAAGAGACACAGACCCACCCTGACCAAGTCTGTCACATACTGGGAAATGAGATAATTAAGCAACTACAATAAAGTATGGTGACTGTTACAGTAGAATCAGTAGACAGTGTCAAACACTGGGGAGGTACCCCAAACTAGTCTAAGGGGTCAGAGAAGGCTTACCAGGAAGAGTGAGGTTTAAACTGATATACCTAAGATTGAAGAGGAGCAAGAAAGGTAAAGGCATGGTGGGTAGCATCAGGAGTAAAGAGGTACCAGTAATACTTATTAATTAGAACATTAAAGAAGTTACCGTTACTTTGATTTCATGAACATGAGAACAAAATTATACTGAACTCTGTAAACAGCACATAAAGCAGTTCAAACAATGGTATTATTAAAATGTCTTATGAAACACCCGTACCGCAAAAGAAGTAACAGGCTTTGCCAGAAGCACACGGTTCCAATCCTTACGGAAAATAAGACAAACTCTAGAGCTATTTTGAGTCAGTCATACCAATATATGAACTTACTCTTTAAAGGGATTACATGTTTTTCAACTTTAAAAATTATACTAATGGGCAATAAAGGGGGACTCTGGGAAGATGGCTGCATAAATAGACCATTGTTCCATTCATCCCCAACAAACACAAGAAATACAACAAGGAAAAAGCGCTTGGCTTTGAAGAACTCTGAATCAGAGAAGAGAGGAAAGCAGTGGGGAACCACAAACAGGTGAGAATCAGTGAATCAACAACTAGTCGCGTACAGCAGGAAAACTGCTTCTCCCACCGTCCCCGCCCCTCCCTCCAGCCACCAGGCCACTGGCTGCTGTGAACTGGGGAAGTGGCCCCAGAAAAGAGCTTGTTTCCCTAACCAACACACCCTCTGCCTGTACAAAGAGAAAGAACCCGAAGCTTCCGCTCTAAAATTAACAAGGCAGAGCTTCCTGGGGGTCCAACTGGAGTATGCTAGCACCTCCGCCATCCAGATACTGCTGGCTCCAAGCCTACTGTCATTTGCTACAGAAAACTCCTGCAATGGAGTCTGCTCTCATAGTCAACACTCTACCTGCTTCCCTATGCGTTCCATAGCTCAGGCCTTTGAACACAAGAGGATAAACCTCCCGGGGAGTCAGTTGTGGGGCTGCCTGCTCCCCCTTCCGGTCAGTGCTGAGGACTGCCAACTGAGGCTGCTATGTACTAGGAAGTAAGCATCTTGAGTGGAGGCTACACCCACAGCTAACATAACTACAGAGGGGACTCTGACAGCAACAAGACAGACCTCCCTAGGAGTCCGTTCAGAGCGTGACAACTCCTTGCCTACCTAGACACTGCACCTGTAAGTTTGCAGTGAATTGCTACAGAAGGTCCCTGGAGTGGAGTCAGCTCCCATAGTCAGCACTCTACCTGCCTCTTTGGCACCCCATAGCTCAGGCCTCTGAAACCAAAAGGACAAGCCTTCCCTGGGGGGTCAATTTGGGTTAGTCTGCCCCCACTTCCGATTAGCACTGAGGACTGCTGTCTAAGGTTGCTGCGTGCTAGGAAGCAGGCATCTTGAGTGGAGGCTGCATACACAGCCAGAAATCTACCAGGGGGCTACTGACAGCAACAAGGCAGACCTCCCTAAGGGTTCGTTCTGAATGCGACTACCTCTCCCCAACCAGTCAGCTGCTGGACTGATACAGGCTCCTACAGAAGGTTCCTACAGTGGAGTCAGGAGGTGGGTCACCTAGGTGGAAACTGCTCCCCCAACTACCACCGGGCCACTGCGGCTCTGAAACCACGATAGATCTCTCGGAGGAGTGCCAGCACCCCTTCCTCCTGAAACAGAGGAAAGTTGGCTTGTGCTTCCCCTGAATGCCAGCTCAGATATAAGCAGCCCCCACAGAGCAGGGAAGGAAATCTTGGGCAAAACTGGAGCGCAACACCCAGCCCTGAAAGGGGCTCAGTGGGTGTAGGTTTTGACTAAAAACGTGACTGCAGAAAAAGAGAAGGGAAGGGAGTAATAACCAGAGAGAGGATGTACCCCTCGTTAATTAGTACACCATACCTCGTCTCAGTGGTGGTGCCCCCTGGTTGACAGACTGACCACAGCGTGCTCTCTGGTGTGTCTGGGAGATACTAAAAGTTAAAAAACAAGATCTGGAACTTCTGAAACCCAATTAAACCAAGGAGGGAGAAGAATCTATCACAGAGAGAGACAGGAAATGGTAAGCAAAGGCCAAAGGCTCTGCCCACCTAGAGTTTCTAGCAGAAAGTAGTATAGGCAAAAATACTAAATACTGGGTGTCTCAGTCATCTAGTGCTGCTCCAACAGAAACACCACAAGTGGATGGCTTTAACAAAGAGAAGTTTATTTCCTCACAGTAAAGTAGGTTAAAAGTTCAAATTCAGAGCACCAGCTCCAGGGAAAGGCTTTCTCCCTCTGTCAGCCTTCTCATCAGTGTTCCCCTGGACTAGGAGCTTCCCCGTGCAGGGACCCCAGGTCCAAAGGACACGCTCTGCTCCTGGCACTGCTTTCTTGGTGGTATGAGGTCCCCAATTCTCTGCTTGCTTCCCTTACCTTTTATCTCTTGTAAGATAAAAGGTCGTGCAGGCCACACCCTAGGGAAACTCCCTTTACATTGGATCAGGGATATGACCTGGGTAAGGATGGTGTTATAATCCCACCCTAATGCTCTTTAACATAAAATTACAATCACAAAATGGAGGCCAACCGCAGAATTCTGGGAATCATGGCCCATCCAAATTGATATACACATTTTTTGGGGGACATAATTCAAACCATGACACTGGGGAAAACTGAAAAACCTAACACCATCAAAAATCCCAATGCCCCAAGAAAAAAACAATGAAACACACAAAGAACAGAGAAACAATGGTCCATTCAAATAAACATGATAAAGCGAGTGAAAGCACATCTAAGGATGACCAAATAATGAAAAAAATGGAAGAATATAATACAATAACATTAAGCATAATTAAAGAACTAAGGGAAAACATGGACAAAGAGCTAAAAGAAATAAGGAAAACAATGCAAGAACAAAGTGAGGATCTAAAAAGAGAAATTGCAACAGAAAGGGACAGCAACTAGAAAGAGAAGCACAATAGAAGGACTTACAAACAGATTTAATCAGGCAGAAGAAAGAATCAGTGAATTAGAAGATAAGAGACTTAAAATTACAGACACTAAATAGCAACAAGAACAGAGTTTCAAGAAGGCTGAGCACAGTTTAATGGAATTATGGGACAAAAGACCTAATATACACATCATGAGAATTCCAGAAGAGATCAGAGAAAGAAAGGGACATAAACAGTACTTGAAGAAATAATGACAGAAAACTTCGCCAATCTAATGAAGGACATGAATCCACAAATATAAGAAATTCAAATAACCCTAAGCAAGAGAAACCCAAAGAGATCTACGTCAAGAGACACTGTAGTTAGGCTCTCAAAAATTAAAGACAGAGAATCCTGAAAGTAGTGAGAAAGAAGCAAACAGTTACATACAAAGGATCCCCATTAACTGCCAAACTACTGCAAGAAACCAAAAGAGACCTGCATAAGTGGAAAAACATACCTTGCTCATGGATAGGAAGACTCAACATTGTGAAAATGTCAATTCTATCC